TATCTATCTATCTATCTATCTATCTATCTATCTATCTATCTATCTATCTATCTATCTTCTTGTAATTTGTTGTTAAGTTGGAACTAACCCACAACTGATACTCCAGTAGATTTTAGAGGTAGTAAATGACATGGGAGGAGATTGCCCATCCTTCTCTTCTGGAGTATTTGGTGGATTTGAACCATGTAACTTTAGGATTGTAGCACAACTTCGTAGTACTGTTTCACCAAAGCTCCCAAATATACAAAATTGTTGTCATGTGCCTTCAAGTTGACTACAACTCATAGCAACTCTAAGAACAAGAGTTCTGAATCTTGTCTTTTCCTGAGCCAATTTCACTGTCTGACACATCTGCCTCCACTGCCACAGTCACTGTGTCATTCCATCTCATCCAGGGTATTCCTCTCCTGTGTTGACCTTGTACCCTTTTAAGCATAATGTCCTTCTCCAAGGACTAGCCCTTCATGGCAACCTGCCTGAAGTATGTGAGACAGAGTTCCAAAATCTTTGCCTCCCAGAAGCAGTCTGGTTTCACCCTCTCAAGAACAAACCTTTTTATTCTCTTGGCAGTCTATGGTGTATATTCAATACTCTTCTACAGCACCACAACTCAAAGGTAGCTGCTCCTCCTCTGTCATCTTTATTCACTGGCCAGCTCTTAGATGCACAGCAAACAACTGAGAAGATTGTGATATGGATCAGGCACACCTTATGTCTAGACTGACACTGTTGCTCATTAGTTCTCTGGAGAGGTCCTTGACAGCAGGCTTTACTAAAGCAGCTCATCTTTTGATTTTTTTCAGTGCTGGAGTCAAAAGTATTGATTATGGACCTGAGCAAAATGAAATTGTTAAAAACTTCAATCTTTTCTCCACTCTCTTGATGCTGTCAGTTGGCTAATTGATGAGAATCTTTGTTTTCTTGATGTTGATATACAATCCGTATTGAAGACTGCTTTCTCAAAAAGTTGAAAACAGAAATACCATTTTACCTAGCAATGCTACTAATTGGGATATACCCTAAAAAACCAGAATTGCCACCCAAAGAGATATATGCACACACCCATGTTTATTGGTGCATCACTCACAATAGCAAAGAGATGGAAGCAACCCAAGTGCCCATCAATAAATGAATGGATAGAGAAACTGTAGTATATTCACACAGT